AAGCAGCCACAAAGGTAACAGGCCCAGGTTAGGTAGGAACCATGGGGCACAAGGAACTGAACTCAGGAGTTCCACTTGCCTCATTATCTGGAAACAAACAAAAAAAACAAAACTACTCACCATTAAATTTGTTTAAGCCTCAAATTCTCATTCCAAATAAAATACTGTGGTTCTCTCATCTTTGCTGTCTAGCGCTCATCTGGTATAGCAATTTAGGAGCAATGACACTAGATTCTTGTCTTTTGGGCTGTGAGCCTAGCCTTTAAGGGCCAAGCCATCTATACAGTCCAACAGCAGGTTCTTAAGGCAGAGAGAATGTTTTCCTTAAACACTGATGTCATGGAAGAGATGGGAAATGTCCACATGTTGCAAGTATTAGAGAATGTGGTTTACTTTAAGAACATTTAACCTCTAGGGTCACCACACAGTGGCATGTCTTTTTAAAAAGTACACATGGCATATGTGTGCTTGTGTGTGGATGTGTACTGTGCTGTATTATTATTATACACAAGTGTTAAATTATATGGGTCCAAATAACTAAATCAAGTTAATGCAGGATTTGAGATCTCCTACTAGAGTGTTTATAGAACACAAGTTGAGGAAACCTAAGTGCTTTCAAGGTTAAAGAGCATTGTTTGTTAGAGGGGAGGGAGTAGGGAAAAGTATTAACACTCCAGTAGATATTTCAAACTATTAGTCTAATCTCACAGGTAGAACTGTTTTTGATTAACCGCTCCAACTAAAGATCTGACAGATTTCATATGAAAGTTTGAATTTCTTTTTCTTTTTTAATTATTTATTTTTGTTTTTTTGAGACAGGGTTTCTCTGTGTAGCCTTGGGTGGACTCACTTTGTAGACCAGGCTGGCCTCGAACTCACTGAGATCCCTCTGCCTCTGCCTTCCTGAGTGCTTCCATGTGTCACCATGCCCGGCTCCAAAAGTTTGAATTTCTTGACAAAGATTTAGAAAAACAACATCTGAGCAGGCAAACAGGCAGGCAGGCAGGCAGGCAGACATCTGGACAGGCAGGCAGGTAGTCATCCAAGGCAGCAATGGTTAATGGTAAATGGTCTACAGTGTCTCCTGTGCACAGAGAAAGCCTTTCCAGTTCTCCATAAGCAAACTGCCCTACTTGGCTCTCCAGCACCGAATCTCAGCATCAGTTGCCTTTTCTTTTTTTTAATCAATTGCCTTTTTACAGTCTTCTTTATCTTGATGAACTTTTACTTTGTCAATCTGCCTGAGCGTTAGAGTTGAAAGCACCAGCTGTAGAGGTTAAGTGAAGGTCCAGTAGGGTGGCCTGCAGTCTTAGCACTAAGGAGGCTAAAGCAGGAAGATCCTGAGTCCCTGGTCAGCCTAGGTTAGCTCCACAATGGGACCTTTTCCTACTTCCAATTAGGACAACAGCAGCATCAAATGGGGAGAAGTTCCTTTTAACAAGTACAGGTTATCTGAGGAGTTCAAGCAAGCCTTGCTTTGTACTGACTGGTCAAAAAGCGAATCCTCTGTCGCTTCAGCTTTAGAAGATGTCTCTACCTCTGACCTCCCTGACATCCCTAATTGATCAGGTCCGGTTTTATTGTCGGAACAGTGTGGAAGGGCTGACTAACCATGCTGCTTTCTGTCCCGCCTTCTTTCTGGGACGATGACAGACTCCAACAGTGATGCGTGGAAGCACATTGCAAGCTGTAGCCAGAGAAGGGGCCGCCAGTCTCCGACAACGGTTAACTCATCCAGAAGAAAGACTTCTTTTTCCCTCCAAAGAATCTTTCTCCAAAGTTAAAAAGATAAAGCATCACACCATCACTGACAAGAAAAAAAACTCAATTTTTTTATGTGTATGTATGAGCTTGTGTCAGGTGCCCTGGAGGTAGAGTTAGAAGCAATCGTGGACCGCCTCATGTGCGTGCTGGGCCCCACACCCCAGGCTTCTGTAAGAGCAGCAGGTGCCCATAACTGCTGGGCTACCTCTCCAGGCCCGTGAAAAAGTCACTAAGTCCTCTAAGTTAAAGCAAACACACAGTCTGTTACCGAGAGCACGCAGCACTGTCCATGGTACAGCCTGCCACCATCTCCTTTCCTGCCCATAGCTGGTGCTTTAATACCTATCACTTCTCAAGCCAGCACCACAGTCAGCCTTGAACTTTCAGCAGCTGCCTTTGCTTGTCAGAAGCAATAGAGATTCAGACATGGATACTGACCGCAAAGCCAGCTCACCAAGATAGACAGTTGCCTCGCCTGCTCAAGAGAACAGGCATGCTGGTCCTGTCCACAGCTGCTGCTCTGGGTCCCATCCATCCTCTCACTCCCGGGGGCCTTGTGTTGCTACTGAAGTCTTAATCATCAGTTCAACCCTTCTCCATCTCACTGTGCCAGTTCAGTCTCCTTTTTTTTCCCAACAAAAGGAAAATAACTCTGATTTCTTTATTCTTTTTTACACCCAAACTTGTAGAAAAAGTAATCTTTTCCCTTTCCTTACCTGTCACTGACCCACCCACAGTGTCTGGCCTCCACCACCCATCGTGCACCAAAGGCTTTCCTCTGTGTGTTTGTTGTGTGAGTGTTCCTGTGCCGTGTCACTGGGAGGTCAGAGGACAACTTTTGGGACTTGGTTCTCCCCTTCTACCACGTGGGTCCCAGGGATTGAACTCAGGTCATAATGCTTAGCAGCAAGCACCCTTAGCCCAACCACCAAGGGCTTTCTGATTGTCAGTCCCACTGTTTCTTGGGCCTCTGGTCTGATCTTGGTTTCTCTATTTATTTCTGTGTTTTCTCTAATACATTTCTATTTTTCTTCTCCTACCTCCTAAACCATTTTAAATTTCCAGTGTCAGTTACTTTGGGCTCCTTCTCCAGTATTTGGTTTGTTTGTTTGTTTGTTTTAATTCTTAAAGAAATTATTTTTATGTTTATAGTGCTTTGCCTGCATATATGTCTGTTATGTGTCTGTATGTGCCTGGGGCTTGCAGAGGCCAGGAGAGGGCACTGAGTCCCCTGGAACTGGAGTTTAGAGAGTCGTGAGCTTCCATGTGGATGATGGGGATTGAACCAGGTCCTCGGGAAGAGCTGTCAGTGGTCTTAACCACAGAGTATCAATTCTGACCCTGTCAAGCTCATTTTAATGTGTGTGTGCGCGCGCTTGCGAACGTGCCCACGAAGGGAGCATACTCAGATTGTCAGGCCTCCAGGCAAGCACTTTTATCTGCTGAGCCAATTCATCACCCCCCCCATTTGTTTTTTAAGTGATTCTTTTCTTTCATGTATAAACACATTCAGATTCATCTTTTTAAAAGCCCACATCATTTTTTCTGCTGTGGCAGTCATTATCCCTGATTCTGCTTTAATTTTTCTCTCTCTGTGTAGGATGTGTGGTATATTTGGGTGTGGTTCGAATGCCTGTCTCATTGGGTGTCTTTTTTTTTTGCTCTGTCTTATTCCTTTGAGGCAAGGTCTCTCTGAACCCCCTGTAGAAAACTAATAACCACTTGGATTGTTGTGGAAGAGGGATAAGTTTTTGAGGTGGCATGTGAGCTGGTCCGCTGTGGGAAAGCTGTTGGTTGGCAGACAGTGCTTGTCCAGGAGCCAGGAAGACAACCTTCATGGGATGATAAAGTGGTCAGTATGTCTGAAATGTGCAGTGTGATCTCTAGACAACAGTTTTGACATCTCTTGAAATGTAGAAACTTGGGCCTCACCCTGGATCTACTGATTTTTCATTTTTATTTTGACTCAGGGTCTGTTTGCCCTGGGACTCACTATGTAGACCAGGCTGCCCTCAAAGTCACAGAGAGTGACCTGCCTCTGCCTGGTAATTGCTGGGATTAAAGGCATGTGCCACCATATCCAGCCTTAAAATTAAGGGATTTTTATTTCAATGTGATCCCAGGTGATTTGCATTTACATTAAATGGTGGTAAGTATGGCCTTTTAAGGTTCATTCAAAGCCTTGCAATTCCACTTGAATATCCACAGTCAAGTGCTGCATGGTGAACTCTGCAGAAACTAAATGTGTATTCCAAGTAGGAAGTTTTCCCTGAGTCTAGAATAATTAAAGAAGGTTCCACTGCCTGGCCAGCTGAGTAATGGAGAAATGCAGTCATATCAAAAGAAAACTCCAGGAACATAGCTGGCCTGGCAGTTGGGAGATTGGCTAGAATTTCTTCCTTAGATTCACTAAAGTAACTCTGAGCCCTGCTTTTCAGAAAGAACAGGTCACATATTGTCCCAAGGAGCATATTCTGGCTAGAATGGTTTGAGTGTCCTAGTGAAATTCCAAAGAACTGTGGTGCACAGGAAATGGTCTGGCTTGGACGTTAGGAGACACTTTTGCAATAGGAAGGACATCCGGCCTAAGGGTTGAAGGTAGAGTGGGTCAAAGGTAGCTGAATCAGAATCAGCCTCCCTGGACAGGATACAAGGAATGCCAGAGGGTGAAATGGGATGTGAGCCTGGAGATAGCTAAGAGCCAGGGACTACTGGAATCTTGGATGTTGCTGGGGATAGCTGACCTTACTTGTAGGCCCCAGAAAGCCACCTATGAGGTAAGGCAGAGATGTGATTAAGCTTGCAAATTTTATTTTTTAATTTAAACTTTTTTTGAGAGTTTCATACATGAATACCGTATTTACATAATTTCTACTCTGTTTTTGTTTTGAGACAGAGTCTCTCTACATAGCTCTGGCTGTCCGGGAACTTACTAGGTAGACCAGGCTGGCCTCAAATCACAGAGATTTGCCTGCCTGTGTTTCTCAAGTGCTGGGATCAAAGGCATGCTCCACCAGGACAGCCATTTCTACTTTAAAAAAAAAGATTTGGGGCTGGAGAGGTGGCTCAGTGGTTACTAGAGGACCTGGATTATATTTGTAGCAACAACATGATGGCTCAAAAACACCTGCCACACCAGTTTCAGGGGATCTGGGATGGCCTTTTCTGGCCTCCTTGGGCATTGATGCAGAGATAAAATACGCAGACAAAATACCCATACACATACAACATTTTTTAAAAGTTTTAAAGATGACCTTTGATTTTTATTTTGACATTCAAATTTACATTTTGAGAAATGTGAACATGAAGAATCATCTTTGAAATCAGGTGAAATTTTTTTATCAAGCTTACATCACATTTTGGCCCAGTTGTCATACAAAGGCAGCAAAGCCATAGCTCAGCTGGGATCTAAAAAGCTTGTTTAGGGATACTATTTCTCTCTGTGTGTAATGAGAGAACAGAACGGCAGGAATGTGGTAATCTGCCTACCCTACTTGTGTAATGCTCCCCAAGGAAAAGACAATAAGAGCTTACTTCTTACCTACCTTGTAAACTTCAGAAGTATGTTCCAAACCTGCCAATATGCCAAAGTGTAGCTTGTGTTGGACGCCTAAAATGTGGCTAGTCTTCGTTACAATATGAATGTAATGCACACAAGAGATTTTGGAAGATTAGGATTTTTGAAAACATATATGAACATTCTTACATTGAGTAGTTATCAAAATCAGGATATTTTAAATTTAGTCTCTCTGTTTAAACTCTGCTTGTTTCCCACTTTGGAGTATGCCATCTGTTTCTCATATTGGATTTTGGCTAACGAAACACCAAAATGAAATGTTTGTTTGAAACTTTTGTTTATATCATCTTATTCATTACTCACTTATTTGGATGAATCGAAACTTTTCTTTCTTATATACATCCATGTGCAAAGCCTAGTTCTATAGTTACACTTTTTATATGCAGATGGAACCATTTCTGCTGATTGATTGTCCTTGTAGGTTCAAAGAAAAAAAAAATCACCAACTTGTGAAGGAACCAGATTCTGAGTCCTGAGTGAATATCTAGAAATGAGTAATAATTAACTATGACCAATGGGCAAGCCAACATTAAAATATTAATAGTGACTCATTATATTTGGCCTGCTTAACCCAGAAGACCCAAAGAAAATCCCTGGATTAACCTTCCATCTCATGGAACTGAGATTAGGTGGTACCTAATTGTCTCCATTGAGGTTTTTTTGTTTGTTTAACATGGGCAACAAGACAAAAATGTAGTTAAACAAAAAATATTTTTGTTCTCCGAAGGAAATATGCAATTTTGAATTCCAACGTATTGGCAGTAGTGGTGGCAGGGTATTTAGAAAAGGAAAAACTGGCCAGGTGTGGTGCTGCATGCCTTTAATCCTATCACATCGGAGGCAGAAGCAGGTGGATCTCTGTGAGTTTGAGGCTAGCCTGGTCTACATAGTGAATTCTAGGACAGCCAGAGCTACATAGTGAAACCCTGTCTTGAAAACAACAATAACAAAAAGAAAAAGAAAGGGAAAGAAAATGATAGACTCGAGGCAAATGTGAGTTTGAGCACAGCTCTACCTTGGGCATGGGGAGTGGGAAGAGCCACCTTCTTCAGACTGTTGTGAGAGGAGGATGAGAAGATGAACACAATGCGCCTAAGCACAAAGCATCACCACAGATGCTCAGTCAGTGGCAGCTACAACAATTTAGCCAGCACATTCAACTGTGAATAGCAGAAGAGACTTACAAAAAGGGAAAATGGCTTGACTACCCTACCGAAGAGATGCAGGGCACTTGGTTCTAGTCTGCAGGGGACTTCCCTTTCTGACTAGTCAATCCCCAGATCAGAGTTGGACAGAGAGCTTGAGGTATGGCCAGAACATATCACTGCTCAATTCTGCTCGACAGTTAATTCTTTCAGCAATACTCATAGGAAAGATCCAAGATCTCTCTACATTTCCATAATAAAAATCCATAACCACATATTCATTACACAGAAACACTTTGTGAAATAAGAAAAATAAGACATGTAATGGAAGAGCAGCAACACTTGACGTGTAAATACCATCTCTGCCTGTCACCCTTCACTAATCTAAATCTTGGGACAAAAAAATATGTGGCACAGCTCTCAAACCCAAAGAGCCATCTCTGTGTCGCAGAGTCTATTTGGCCATCAGTGGAAAGGTTTGTGGTTTGAGAAAAAACCATGTATGTGGTCTTGTCCCCTGCCAGCTTCTTGGTTTTAGAATGTTATAAGATAGTGGTGTGGGGCCTAGAGAGGTGTCTCAGAGATTAGGAGCACATAGAGCTCTTGCAGATGACCTCAGTTTGATTTCCAGCACCCACACCGGATGGCTCACAACTGGCTGCTTCTAACTCCAGCTCCAAAGATTGACACCCTCTTCTGGCCACCATATTCACTGTACTTATGTGTACAGACCCACACGTACACACATAATTGAACACAAAATCTTCAAAATAGTGATTATTGTATAACGTTGTAAATTACTAAATTCCATTCAGTTGTACTGAGCTGGATGTAAATGTGGCAAAATTTGTTCTGTGTAATTTAACATAATAAACACAACTTGAAAGGATGCAGTAGAGGGCGTGTTTTCCCAGTCCCGCAGCGGTGACTATAGTTTTCTTTCTAGCATATACACTACTGTCACGTTGCATCCCCTAAATGCCTATGTGTGGCTCTGCTTTTCAAAACTCTCAGGCTTTTGTGTTCTACTTGGTAGCGTTTTGGCATCATGCAGGAATATACAGTGTGTTTCCATTCTTGTTTTCAGTAGCTGATGAGTCACATTAGCTGCACAGACACATAGGCTCTTTCACAAAAACTCTTTGGCTTTAGCACATATCTATCTACGTTAGAAAATTCTCTTATCTAAAGGGTAGGTTTGGAATGGGTTTGTGTCTCCTCATTCCAAAGGCACTGCATGGCTTTCTTAGGGATTGGCGGCGGGGGGAGGAGGGCGGCGTGTTCCAAAGCTATGACTGAGATGGTTTCTGAGTTTCCTTTCAGCCAGTTCACCTTGGGCAGTGTGGCACTCAGGACTCTTAGTTTTTGAGAGGAAAAACTATTGTTCTTTTATGAAGCACAGATCATGAAAATTATGATCCCAAGCACAGAGGGCAAAGGAGAAAGAGGGTAGCTGGAAGGGATAAGAGAATATCACCAGGAAGTCCTTGAGGCAGAGGGTGTTGAATGTCGCCAGGGACAGGCATCATGAAGCCACAGAAGCGGACTCTCCCGAAAGCAGGGAAGGGTGACTCTCGAGTCCCCTGCAGAGAGGAACACATTCCCTGGGCAAGCTGTTTTCTCACTCCAGCCAGCAAATGTCAGCTCTTCCTGCTATACGGCCTCTTTCTGGAAATATGAAGGCTTTCTGTAGATGAATATGCCAGTGATGGCCACAGCAACCAAGATCAGGGAGAAGATAACCATGAGACTGATGTAAGTGGAGTGAGGGAGAGGTGGGGATAGCGGCTGCTCGGCCGGGATCATGTTGGTCAAGTTCAGCATGTAGCCCAGAGTCCACCCAGCGTTGCTGTCTCCGATCTGTAAACAACAGGGAAACATCTTGTCGTTCATGGTCTGAAAAGGAAGTCTGTAGTGTTCCTGTAACCCCACCCATACCACCGAGTAACCATGAACTATACAGCCACCTTGTCTATATAGTTCACACAATAGATGAACTTCATATGCTACACTGGGAGTGATGTGAGGGGGAAAATCAAAGCAAATGATTAAAATAGAGCTTGGAGAAAGTTTGGTGATCGGCTGTTCAGTCCACCTGCTGGGGAGCACTTAAATTCAAACAGACCACAGGAGGTCACTCTATTTCCTGAGCTAAGTGAGAGGTGACAGACAGGAAACAGGTAAAAAGATGAAGAGGTAATGATTGGCTCTAGTCCTTTCCATCCTTCCCAGGCCGGAGAAGCCACATAGAACCAGGGCTGCATGCGGGGAAACTTGAGAAAATAATTCCAGAAAGTAAACTTTATAAAGCTGGACAATTATGCACCTCCCTAAGAAAGGATCCTTATTAAATTATAAACCATTCTCTGTCCCTCTCACCTCTGGAGAAATAATTTACAGTCATCCGGTGGTATTTGCACAACAATTTTGGGAAGATTTTATTGTAAGAGCTGTTTGTCATGAAGACATAGAGAAGTTAGCAAGAACAGACAAGCCTGAAGAAGAAACCCAAAACTCCACACACAGTGCCCCTTAGGCCTTGCTGACATCCCTTCCTTGTGACATTTCCTTCCTCCTCTGTGAACATGTTCCTATTGTTTTTGCAAAATAAATAAGTATTAAGTTGTACCTGGAACGATTCACTTACGGATACTTTGTGAACATTACCCTTAACCTGTTTCTGGATCATCACTGACAGTGTAGACCACTTTTTACCCATTTTAACCAACTGCTTAGTATCCAAGGAATGGAATAATAGGACCAAATGATGTGCATACTTTTAAGGCTTTCAGCACGTATTGTAAAAAAACAAAAAACAAAACAAAACAAAAAAACTCCCAACAGGTGTGCCAACTTACAATAGTTCTTTCTTCCAAACCCTGGCCCGTATTGGCAATAATATGTAAAAGGACTAGTTTTTCCTCTCAGTGTGGGGTGGAATCTTTGAAGTCTCCAGATTTAGGGGGGTCATTCCCCAGATGCAGAGACATCAGATCACACGGAAGCATTCCAAGAGTATAAACAGAGACTGCCCTGCATATCAACCAAATTTAAGACAGAGCCTAACGGAAGAAATAGACTGACCGAATGAAAGGAAGTCTGGGATGTTAAAATAAGGAAAAGTATCCATGAAGCTGCTACAGTCCTGATTCTGTGCTTTGGTTTGTTTGAGATCACTGTATTTTAAAAGATGGTAAAATACTTTAGGCATTAGCGGGCACCACAACAGAGGAGCCATATGGCTGCTTGCTTCTTTGCTTCTGGATGCCTGAAGGTGGCACTGTTGCCAAGCAACAGCCCCATCTGTGAGGCTGGTAAGAGACTGGATCACAAAGATGGCCCTTGGGGGGATTCTGAAGTCAGGACAGTGGCTAATGAAATACTATTAAATAAATAAACTGACTTGTTGAGAACTAGTTACTGTCATGTGCAGAAAGGTGAAACAGATTGTGAATTCCTATCATTAGAGTCAGCCTATGAGAGCTGCCTGCTATTCCCAGTAGGACTTGATCTGAATTCCATCTGGTGGGGTAGTAGAACAGTCATCAAGCCAAAACTTAAATGTGGTGGACTCCTAACTTTTCTAAGTTCAAAACTGCTTTGTCACCAACTTCCACCCAACTTTCACACCCCCAACAGATTCCCAAGTTACCTTGCCCATAAAATCAATCTTGTTCCAGGAATTGTCTGTGAAGTTATAGCCGTGCACAAGCAGGGCAAGGATGTAGGTACCCGAGAAGCAGTATTCATTCAGGTACTTCTCCTTTATGTTAGGATGAGCTGCTTTTACCTAGAAGGAAAATGAAGGAAACATCACACCTGCGCAACAGGCCCCTCTCTGTGGTTCCTTCTCACTAGAGACCCAGTGAAGAGACAAGGAGGTCCCTAGCTCACATGGGTCTTGGGGTCAGGCTCTACAACAGGCTGTTGGATGGCACAGTCTCCCTCAGAGACCGTGGAGTTTTCAGTCAGGGTCTCCTGAGGAAGCTTTTCTTCCTCAAGGCTCTCTGTGAAAACAGTAAGCGGCTTAGGAAAAAGGCAGTTCTTTCTGCCTAGGAATTTCAGAAACAGTCAGCTTCAGCATCTCCTTCCATCTCTTACACTTGGAAAAACTCACCAATTACATTAGCATATTAAAGCTGTGACAGCATTGTCTGAAGGAAGCCATTGGTCTCTGTTTAGGCAGAGTCCCCTACATGCCATACTCTGGGTGTTAGTGCAGAGCTTCTACAGGCATCATAAAGAAATCCTTGCCACTCAGGTTAGCCCCTGGAGGACAGCATCACCCCATTCTTCACCCCCGGGCTCCCAACTCAGAGTCTGCATTTTCACTTGATGATTCTCTGTCTCTGTATTTCTGTCTTTTTGTATCTGTCTGTCTGCCTCTCTCTGTATGTGTCTGTGTCTCTGTACTTCTGTCTTTTTGTATCTGTCTGTCTCTGCCTCTCTCTGCCTCTGTCTTTGTCTCTCTCTCACACACACACCACATTTGACAAAAGCAGCCTTGGAAGACACCTTCAGAAGCATTTTGCTAAACAATGCTGATAGTGCTGACATCCCAACCTCTGTCTTCAGTTCCTTTTTGCATCTACATTATAAAAAGCAATTGTCCCAAGTCTTTTCATTCATCCTGTACTCTAGGGAAAAGAGCAAGAGATGCCTGTCACTCTTTGACCATATCCACTCTGGTTGCTGAAACTATGTAGCCAAAAGTTCACAGGCTGCTCAGCCCCTTTCCTACAGAGAGGGCAGATGGCCAGGGCACCACCCACCCAGCACACAGGTCTGTCTCAAAAGGGCCTTTCCTCCCAGCTACCATGAGCTAAGCCACAGATACCATCCGTTAAACATGTACCATGCACTCAGAAGTGGGCAGAACATTTTACATGTAAAATTTCCTTGCCCCAGTGCTTCCAAGATCTTGCCATCTAATGAAATGTGTCCTCTGTATACCCTTTCTCACTTTGATCTAAAAAATGCAGGGGAAAAATTCTATAAGACCCAATATTTCTTCATAATAAAAACTCTTCGTGAATCATGCATACAAACAGACCCCAACATAAAAACACATCTGTAAACAAACCAGCAGCCAATGTCACACTGAATGAAGGGAAAGCTGAATATTAATGAGCTTTGCATGTATGTTTGTCAAGAAACTTGGCACCTCCCTCTCCTTGCCTCCTTTCTTCTCTCTCTGGTTTTGGTGTCAGTATACTGCTGAACTTGCCGAACCAGTCTGGAAGGATCACTTCCTACTTACTGTATGGAGCACTGCTGTTGGTTCTTCCTAAAAGGTTTAGTAGAACTCATCATATGGCTTGTCTCAAAGTCAAATTCAATAATACATTACAAAGATCATGTACCATGATCATGGTTGGTTTTATTCTAAAGATGTAAGAATGGTTCAACATGTGGAAATCAAGAAACACAATACAGTATATAAATAAAATCAAGCACAAAAAAAATCATATAGTCATCTCAACAGATACATAAGAAGCCTTTGATAAAATCCAGCATTCCATTCCTTCTGATAAGAGCCCTGAAGGATAGAAAAAACACACCCCAACACATGAAGACTGCTTACTACACAGCAACAGCCAAACATTATATTAATCAGGGAAAAACTGAAAGTATTTTCTGACCACTCTCTCCACTGTTCATTGGTACAGTGGGTTCTAGTAAGGCATCAAGCAGAGAAGGAAACAAAGAGAAGGAAGTCAAACCATTCCCACTACAGACACTTCAATCATGCCTTATCTTTTGATCTGACACTCAACAGAGCAATGCTACCAAAAAACACTTCAGTGTTACAATTTAGTCAAACCAGTAGGATACAGAATAGACACACAAAAATTCATTAACTTTGCTATACATTAAAAAAAAATGATCTTACAGACAAAAGAAATCAAAAAAACAATTCCACTCACAGTCGCCTCAAACAAAGAAAACAAAAAAACAAAAAACAACCTAGGAATAAGCCTGATCAGAAAGCTGAAGTGAACCCTGCAATGAAAACATTCACCCTGAAGAAGACACTAGCTAGAAAGCCCTGCTACCACATGGGTCAGCATGATCAATATTGTCAAATGAACCCTGACACACTATTGACAGAGCAGTGTTGTCGTTATGAAAAACAGTACAAAATTTCCTCAAAAATTATCAAGTGCTGATAACCCAGCAATTCATTAATGTGAGGATATTCTATGGAAATTGAAATTGAAAATGCCAGACAGATGGGGACTTAACCTGCATCAGGAGGTAAAGACATAAAGAAAATGAGGCTATATAAAAAAGTCAAATACTAGTTATCCATACACACACACACAGACACACACATACCACATAAAGAATGAGATCTGCCATTTTGTACAATACAGGTGAACCTGAAGATTATTTTTGTTAAGTCAAATAAACCAAAAAAAAAAAAAAAAGACAAATACTGAATGATCTTGCTCACATGAAATATTAAAAAGTTAGGCATTCAAAATGAAACCCACTGTTAAATAATTAATAGATAACTCAAGAAGATTTCATAGTATTGAGACAAGGAGCAGTGATTACCAGAGGACAGAAAAAGCAATGGTACAAGGAATGGTAAGAGGTTGGTAAGGAGGTGAAAGGTCATTGCCAGATAGGAATAAGCTTAATTTTTCTCTTGAGTGGTAGGTGTACTATAATTAACAATAATAAAATACAGATTTAAAAACCTAGAAAATGTTGTTGAATGTTCTCACCACAAATAAATGGCACATCATTAAGGTGATAATTATGACCATTATTCTTATCTGTTAAGTACATGATGCAAATTTATACCATAAAAATGTATCAGTCAAAACTAAAATAAAACAACAGAAAATCAGCTTTTAAGAACAAAGGGGGGACTGATGAGGGAATTCGGGGATCTTTTTTATCCTGCAGAAAGGACAGATGCATCTGCTTCTTTCTTTCAACCTTACTGAAAGGCCATGGCAGCCATCCTGTACCCATGACAACAGAACTAAAGGAGCAATGGGGATGACTTAAGAGAGATGCCACCAGCCCCATGCGAGCAGCTGCTTGTTACAAAACTGTGTGCTAAGTGAGAGATGAAGGATGCTGCTTAAGCCATTATAAACCATCAAGGAATGGTGATAAAGGCATTCCTAGGCCCACTCTCTAACCTTCTCTAACACATTTGCTGGACCTCTGTCAAACCAGCGTGAGGTCATGTGCAGATTCACGTCCTCCATGACACTGAGGATACAGGACCAGTTTTATAGTTGTGGCTTCTGGTCACTTACCTCCTCCCAAGGCTTTGAGCAAAAACTTTTTAATGTCTCAGTCAACTTTTCCTGAGAGGAGACACTGTCTTCTGATATCTTCTTAAAGAAATCCATCACAAAGTAGAACGCTGAAAATGCCTGTGGGAGCAGAGTGCAGAGTTTCAGGCTGTGTCTAGCGCATGGGAACATCAACTCAAATTTACCCTTCAGAGCTCAGTTCTGGCTCTTACAACAAGGGAGCCCTGAGCTGGCAATCCCATGCTGCAAATAAGCTGTCTTGCTTCAGTTTCAGCTAAAACAAACCCAGTGGAAGTTTCTTTAAAGGTACACAATTTGAAACTTTTAAAATAATTTATTTCTTTTTATTTTATGCACACTGGTATTTTGCCTGCATGTATGTCTGTGTGAGGGTGTTGGATCCTGGAATTACAGACATCTGTGAGCCGCCATGTGGGTGCTAGGAATTAAACCCTCATCCTCTGGGACAGCAGCCAGTGCTGAGCCATCTCTCCAGCCCTAAAACTTTTTTTTATATAGAACTCATATCTAACTTAACAAAAATAAGTAACTGTGTGCATTAGTCAGTTAATATGACACACATTTGTATGGATTAATATTTCTTTTTATTTTCTAATCTTGATTTTTCTAGCACTTCCAGTCTAAATGGTTAGTTGCCTGGTAATATAGCTGATATTCTCCTTTTATCAGCTTTCTAAGAAAATAATGAAGAAAGTTAACTCAACACCAAATTTGTCCATAAACAAACAAAAAGGTGTGGCCAATATATACTGATGGGGACGTTTAGATGAAGCTGTGGTGAGCACACTTGTGGAAACAGAAACAGGCTCTGCATCTGGGGTCAGGAAACCGCTCCCAAACTGACCGCTTGGCTTGTCCTTACTCCCTTCTGTATTCTGGCTTGTTCATTTGTTCCAGCTTGCTTGTCTGCTTACCAAACACTAGGGTTTAGTTTGGCTGTGCCATGGCAGGAAGCTTTATAGAGATAGGGTCATTGTCAGGGCTGGGATTACTTATGCTGGCATTTGCATCTGAATCTGCCTTCCAAACTCTTGTGTGGACTCGGTGGCCCCTGGCCCCTGGCCCCTGTGGAATGTTCACTTCCAGAGATTGTCCTGCTTAGTTAGGCTCATGTTTAGAATTTAATTGTTATTTTCCATATACTTTTTGGTGTAGTAAAGGTCCCTAAACTGGGGATCACAGATCCACCATAAAGGATCGTCCTATAAATTTTATGCAGATTATTCAGTTTACTTCAAGATGTCTATTTTTCTGATTGGAAGTTCCTTAGCTTTCCTCAAATTCTTCAGAAATTTGTGGTCCCTTGAGGGGTTAAACAAGACTGGATTGTTGAAGAGATTATGCTGAGTGAAATAAGCCAGTCACAAAAGTACAAGTAGCATTTGATTCTGCTGAAAGCACCTAGAATAGCCTGGGCAGGGGTGGAAGCATTGTCATAGGAATTAAAAAAGGGAAGGGGAACAGGGTCTGCTCATCCCCCTCAGGGTCCTCCATGCTATGACCTTTGGAGAATGTTCAAGAGACAAATTGACAGTACTCTGAAATCCGAATCCTGGATGTCAGAGAGTTTCAGACGGTGGGACATTTTGGCCTTTGAAAATATTTCTTCATTTACTGCCATAAAACAGACATAAACCTAATGGAAAAGATAAAAATGTATGCACAGCAACACTGATGTGTCAATAGGGTGCCATTAACAGTCAGGAGAAACCTAGTGGTGCAGTCCTGGGGCATAACAGATGAATCGCTGTAGTCTATACCGTATGACTCTAACGGCTGGATGGCCCCTTTGCGTTGCTTTATGGTGAGCTCAGGTGGTGGGAAACTCTGGCTGACATGGACATAGCACTTCTGTTCTTCCCATGAACAATTCATCTTTCTAGTGCAGTTTGTACTCCACCACAAAGTTCCTGCATATTTCCACTGCATGCAATACATATAACATACGTGTTTTACATGACTGTCGAGGCCATTGGCAAAGCTTCTAGTCAACGGTAATGTATTACTAGCAGCTAGGTTTTTTTGAGGGAGCTCAAAGTCTGGCCAGTAGCAAGAGTAGAGAATAGACTTCATACCCTGTCTAACTGTTATCGCTACAACAAGCAGTAAACCAATACCGCCATCGCCCTCCAAACCAACATACAGGGTGTTCTGGCCCAGGTTGCTTCATATCAGGGATGGTGGCAGCCAGTGACCAGAAAGGTCATTATGAAAGGCTTGGTGACAGTAAAATGGTTCCAAGTAAGAAATGGATATGCCTTCATCAGCAGACATGAATGACACCAACAACGGTGCATCTGTATGCCAGATGCCACCAAAGGTAACTACCCCACCAAACAACTTGTCAGTGTTCAGACAGACAGACAGTGGACTTTATGTTTCTGGAGCAGAAAAGGGCACACGGGCAGCAGCTGTGACAGGCTGTGCTGCACAGATGTGAACATGCAGCAGTAAGCAATTAGACACATCCACACAACACAGGCTCCTCCACACTGTTCCCAGAACTGCAGGAAACGAGCAAAGGAGACATCAGCGAGTGCTCCCGGGGGACAGGCCCCACAGTGCTAGCCCTGCAGCACACAGGTTTCTGCTTTGCTTCTCGTGGAGAGCCTACACTCACTGACCACAGGAGTCCAACCCTCCTGTGTGGGAACAAGCAAGATCGCTGACAACCTGAGTGCAGGGTGGCAGAGTAGAGCAGGGCGGCAGAATCTGCATGGGGTAGACGGCTATAGATCACCACTCCTCAGGAGCCTTCAGGCCAGAAGCAAGCAGAGCAGGCAGCAATAAAAAGGATAAGATAAATCCACATGAGCCCCGAGCCAACAAGGCCCCTCCACGTTAGAATCACCTCATTTCAACTACTAATCCAGGTGCCCAGAAAACTCAGAAACACAAGATGACAAAGAGACAAATAGCAGCTGACCTAACAGCTGAGACTCCATGCATCCTATGGCTGGGCCCGGGTCACAGCCGAGGAACTGTCATCCAGCCTTCTATACCATCCAGCAGTTCTGCCACAGAGCACAATGCCTTGGCAGCAAAAAGGAAAGGGTGACTGAAGCTGAGACCTTAGGTGTTGGATTTCATCCCTTGACCAGACAGTGGGATTGGCAGAGGATGGCATTTTCCAGGCAGCAGGGGGCTTTGGGCATTTTCCTTAAGGATGCCTCTGTTTGCTAGTAACAAAGGTGTTTTTGTAAGCCTGGATTTTCTCTGTACCTTTAAAGATTTTAGGTTGTTTCATGTCTGGTCATGTTGAGATTCTTTGAGAACTTCATTTTTAATAAATGTTTCCAAACCTGATTTTCTTCAAAAAAAGGAGAACATGGAAAGGAAGAGGAGGAAGAAAAAAAGGGACACCTGGTGGCACATGATTATCATCCCAACTAACTACTTGGGAGCTGGAGGCAGGAGGTTTGCAAGTTCAAGGCCAGCCTGGACAACTTAACAAATCCCTGATTCAAAATTTAAAGGCATCTATTAATAAATTCTTAAGTAATTTTTAAATAGTTACATATGGATTTTCAATTGTGGTTTTTATTGGCCAGCAGGGCACACATGTATGTAAAGAATTTTAAATGAGCTTTAATTATAATTCTCTATTTCTGTTCTTTCTTGTTTATGCAAGTTGTACAATGTGTTCTTAAGAAACAATTTCTAAATTACCTCATAATAATTCTCAGCAGATGTTCTCTTTCCTGTTGGTGTTTCTAATTTGCCTTGACATTGGACTCCATCTAGATGCCAAGGCCGCAGTGTAGCCAGACTGGAGGACACGGGTGATTTTACTACTGCGTTTACAGAGTGACTTATAGAACATCAGGGCTGATGGCTCTCTTAGCAAAACTTCCCTCTCCATAAATGCCCACTCCAGACTAACTGGCTCTAGAAATGACAGGAACGGGTTCTTTCAGACAGGAGTCCATTCATTTGTCTTTACATTTATCCTCTTAGCTCCAAGTAGAGTGAAAAAGCCCTTAGCTGTCTCCAGCCACCATAGCCATACACCTCCCTCTTTTGTCCCCTTCCTTCCTCTTCTAAAAATTTCATTCAAGTCAGGGAAGGGCCCTGGTCCCCCCAAAGCCCCATGGCAGGAAACCAGTACCAGTTTAGACACATGGCACTGAAGCCAGGTTGAGATTGATGCCAACAGCCGACCAACTACTCTCTGCTAGTGCTGTACCCTTCCCAGGAGCCCTCGAAAAGGAAAGCTGTGGTCTCACAGCAAGGCATGGTCAGGTCCATGGCTCTCTCCACTGTTTCCTCAGAGGTCAGGTGAACTGAGGGCACCTACAAGGTGTTCAGTCAGGGGTTCAGCCAGGTCTGAGAACAACAGACCCTGTGCACTCCCTGCAGCTCTTGATGTGACATTGATTGGGTGTGCAGACCATACAAACAAACAAACAAACAAACAAACAAACAAACTCCTCTCACCCTGGGGCCAGAGCTGGAACTAAACCTCCTCCTCTTGTCTGTTCTGTTTTCTGAAGGGGAGAAAGGCAGCCAAAGGCCCTGATTCTCTGATCAGTATTGTGGACAACAGCTGTTACGTGTCTGTAACCGTTGCTCTGTAGTCGGCACTTGGTAGATGGTAGGCAACTCTCGCAGCGTGCTTCCTAACTGTGATTACAATGGTGCTTGGTCTCAGGAAACAGAACAGGCAGTCTGAGTAATTAAGAGCTCAAGGGGCATCTTTCCTTTTGAGCACCAACACTTTTTCTTATTCTGGAATGTTTAGGAAAGATGGAATTTGGGAGTCAGGATCCGATAATCCCTCCTGTGTTCCAAACTGTAATGAAATGGATGCTTATTTAAGGTCTCCCTTTATGGCTCTCAATTTTCTGCTTCCTAAATGTTTCTCAGAGAAGAAATCCCCCAGTGGAGTCGCCCCACAGCTGCTGCTACTTCTGACATTTAGAGTACTGCTTGCAGCAGCCTCTGAGGGGTACATATCCTGCAGTGAGCCTCCTTCTTCTTTGTTCATTTTATCCAGGTAGAATAACCAAACCACAATTAACCTAAGCCAAACATGCTATTAATTCCCTTTATCAGACGGCTGCAGTATGTATATTTCACCAAGGTCTGGCCAACAGACTCTGAAAGGGTATCTGTTGGCTCTACCGCATGAGAGATGTGTAAAGAAAAGCTCTTCACCGTCATTCTCATTCCTACCTTGATTTTGCTGGAGAAGGTATAATGCTTGGAGCGGTAGCCACGCTTTTAGCATCATGAGAAAACCAAGAAGATAGTGGAGAAGGAGATCCTAGATACTGACATGACTCGGCCAAGCAACAAACACTGAGTTGTATCAAGACATTTTTATGTGTAAGAAAAAAAAAGGTTTTATTATTCACATACTTTATAGGCACATCTTGGACAACTTGTAACTTAAAACACTCTAATCAATATAGCTCATCATTTCACAAACTTACCCCGAAACTTCCATGGAGAGGTGGCAAGAAGACGGCATTGAAGGCACAGTAGGAGTAAGGGCAGTAGGTGCTGTTGAAGAGCTCGAGGATGCTCTGTTGGCACTGCTCATAGTTTCCAGTGCCCTGGATTTGAAACTGATCAAATGGTAGCTTCTTTTTAAAGCTCTTGGTGCAGGGGGTGCCGAAGAGTTCACTCACGTTCACGACCTTCTTGTATCCCGGGAGGAAGCACGGGTCCCTGAGGGTCCCGCCACTTGAAGCCTGAATGGAAGAAGCACCCAAATGCCAACTGATCATGCGCAGCATGGCGTCGCCATGCCCTTGTTTTGCCTTCATCGCCCTTGAGAATACATTTTTAAAAGAAGGTTTATAGATTAGCGCCTAGGTGTGGCATGGCATAGGGTGTGTTGGGGTATTTATGCCCAAATCCAGAAAGGCCATCAACGAGGCCTGTCCCTGGGCCCTCAGTGCTGAGTACACAGTAGGTTCACAAGCAGGAGTCTCCAGAAGACTCCGGCCTGGGTGTAGCTGTGTCTGGATTCTACCCCTTCTCCTCCACCCCAGGCAGACTGGGAGCTCTGGGAGTGGGTCGATGCCATAAGTCTTTTATTCCAGGAGTGAAAAAAAAAAAGATTTTAAGCCCCAAGGTAAAAAGAGAGGCTGCTGTGGATAAGAGCCACATGGGCTTTGGGGTCCGGGGCACCTCTCAGCTGCACCTGCTTCAAGATGGCAGTCTTGATGATGATGGTTTTAAGAAGTGTTCCTGGAGGAGGGTGGGGGGACTGACTGTCCTTTCCTAGAGGCAGGACAACTGGATGTGACAACTTCCCTCTGTGTTTATTTGCCAGGGTGTGTCTGGAAATCTCATTACATCAAGTATCTATTCTTGCATTCAAAATGCAGAAGGCATCTGAGGACAATATTTTAAGAATCAATTGACAAATCCTGTATTTTCCCTGCAGTGTTTTTTATTTCTCTCTCTGATTAAAAAAAAAAATGGTGTAGACAAACTTACGAATGGTTACTCCTCCAAGCAAACAATGCTCTAGCATGTAGCTTGCATTATCATCACCACTGGGGCGAGAAAGTAATTCCTAAGAAAAGACCTTAGCGGTGTCCTTGGAGATAGTGCCGCAACAAACATGGGAGGGGATGTCTGGGTGGGGCGAGTCACAGGGGCCCACCAGATGTAGCCTGGTGTCCTGCCTGAGAAGGGACAAGCTTCAGACCAGTTACTGATTACAACGGGGAAAAAACAGGATGTGGGGGCTGAGGACCAGATGTGGGAAGAGCAGAACTGAATTCAGTTGCACTTGCCTGGATGTCCTTGGCCAGTTTCTGCCAGAGTGCCTGGTCCTTCCCATAGCACAGGAAGCTGTGTGTGTACACAGTGTAGTCCTCGCCATAGAGACGGAATTGCAGAGAGTTTTCTGGGGCCTCTAAAGTGTTATTTAGGGGCACAAAGGTGATCTGTGTAGAGGCTCCGCCAAGATCCAAAGCGCCGAATGTTTCTTGTTTCCGGCTGTCAGATGAGATGACCCTTAGCCAAGTCTGTTTCTGAAAGAAAGGAAAAATGCTGGAAGTCTCTGAACATCCATCCTCCTGAGATGGAGGACCAGGGGCAAAGAGTGGGGCAAAGCCTACTGCAGGTTCCCAAAATGAGTATCAAGTCAACAGCTAACGAGAGGGCTTTGAAGACACAGCTCAGAGAGCAGCAATGTGGGGTCAGGAAAACTATGGTTCACAGACAAGTACAAATTCCCACTCAATCTCCAGCTAAGTGACCTGGGCTAGAAAAGATTCTATTTTGAAGCATCTGTTATTGGGGGGGGGGGTCTACGAATAGGGGTGATAATGTGCCACCTGTGGCTGTTCTGAGCATGAGTCACACCGTGGGCAGAATGCTATGCACGCCTCGCTTAGGAAAGCCGTTTTCATTTTGCTTTGCTTTAAACCTAGCCTTACTATGTTGCTCAGGCTGGACTCCAACTTGCACTTCTCCTGTCTCGTCTCTGCCCAGTCAAGTCTTACTTTAAATAAGATTAAAATATATTAAATGAAGCGTATTTGGGGGCTGGAGAGAGCTTAGTGTTAAGAGCCCATACTGCTCTTGCAGAGGACTTGGATTTGATCCCTAACATTGGGAGGCTAACAGCTGCATGTGACCCCAGTTCCAGGAGATCTGTCAGCCTCTTCTGACCTCCGAAGATGCCTGCGAGCACATGCACATACTTGCACAGAGCCACACACGTACACATAATTTTTTAAAATAAAAACAAAATCTTTAAAGTAGGTTTTAATTCCCTTTCTATGTCTCCGTGGGATGAAGACATGGCTTTGATAGTCTCCAGTATTAACAGGAAGGCGAATGTACCTCTAGCGATGGTTCCAAAGGTGGGAGTAAGTTCATTCCTTCATTTGTCCACCCATGATTTCTCTAGCTAACGAGCCACATACTTCCTGGGCCGGCAGTGGCACTGACTGTGTAGGAACACCGCCCTGGTGTGAGCTATTTACCTGAGTGAACTTTCCCAGCAGATAGTTGATAGTAATCCACCCGTAGGCGCCTTCTTCTTTTCCTGTGATGATCTTGGCACCCTGGAAGTCAAAGGGGTAGTTGCTGAGGCTCCTCGACACTGCAGCCAGGACCCTGTCGGCCGACTCTTCACTTTCCATTCTACAGAAAAGAAGAGGTGAAGTTATTGCTTTTTGTCTTCGTGGTTAAACTGACCCATTACAGCTAAAGAACCTAACACACCAGACTGGGAGACACAGGCATCACCATCCTTCTGGCTCTCTCCAGATTCAAATCTTGCAGTCACTGAGTATACGTATCTTTTTAAAGTTCCAGGTTAGCTTTGCTCTCTGGCTCAAAAAGCATCAAAGTATCAAAGGTTTTTAAAATGACTTGTGGTGGGAGCTTGGTGTTGTCTGGCCATGTTGAGAGCTGGTATGTGAGGTTTCAGCCATCACTGTTCAGCCGCTGCTCTTTTACACTTTAGAGTCTTCAGCTAGGGCTGTGGAAATGAGTAGCAGATGCCCAAGTTCCTCAAAAGCCACCCTGGGAAACACCTTCCTTTTATTCAGTTCTTAGGTCCTTTGAGAGCCGAAGAGCCTTCAGCGTTGCCATGTGTGATTGCTCCCAAGAGCCAGTCTGAAATACCAAGAGGCTCTGAGTGAGAGGGCACACCTGTCACAGGGGCTGGGCTCTCTCCTAGTTACCCTAGCTACAAGTCCCACAATCCCAGGCACCCCAGCACTGCCTCTGAGTCCTAGTACCACAGTCTCTACCTAAGTAAGCGCATGCCTGCTGTGGCCCCCAGGTAAACGGGTGTCTCATGCTGCTTGGACGCTGGGATCAGTTCAGTGGACATCTCCATGCACTCAGCCAGGTATGTGTCTATTTCATTTGTTTTCTGAGCATATTTTGAGATTCCAGGACCTAAGGAAAGATACAGAAGATGGAAACCTTTGAAAGAAAAGGTGTGGGGTGTATCTTGACCATATTAAAGTGTTTGCTAAGAAAACAGAAGGAGCCCAGTGGTGGTGGCACACACCCTTAACCCCAGCACTTGGGAGGCAGAGGCAGGCAAATCTCTGAGTTCAAGGCCAGCCTGGTCTATACAGTGAGTTCAAGGCCAGCCTGGTCTACAGAGAGAAACCCTACCTTGAAAAAAACAACAACAAAAAAAGAAAACACTTCTTGATATGATATACATTAGGTTGTGTTTCTTAGAGGGAATACTGGTTAATTTTTATTGTCAACTTAATTGCAGTAAGAAGCACCTAGCGAATGAATGTGGTACTCTTTGAGCATGTCTTTGAGGCTGTTTGCAGAGAGGTTTATTTAACTGTGGAGGAAAGATGTGGGCTGCACTATCGTGGCGCTGGGATTTGAGACTGAACAAAAGGGGAGAAAAAAGAAGCTGGTGAAACCCTTTCTCAGCTTCCTGATCTGCCCGGATGTGAAAAGTTCCTGTCACCATGCTTTCCCCACCATCGTGGACTGTTTCTCTTAGAACACAGAGCCAACATAAGCACTTCTTCCCTTAAATTGCCTTCTCAAGTACTTCCTCAGAGTCGTGAAAAAGTAGCTAATTTGCGTGATACTGCGTTTGATGTCTTTTTAACCTTGCCGGTAAAGCCTGCTGTTCAGCAATCTGACCACAAGGTGGAGCAATTTCACATTTAATTGAGTTACGTCTTCTGACACTAGGCTGACCTTAGAGTGCAATCTGTTAGACGCTTTTGAATGATCCTTTCACAGAGTCGTAATTAGCAACGTTAGTTCCTAGAGGCCCTCGGTGAAGATGACATTTATCGCAAAAATTAGAGTAAAGCACCCGATATACTGGCTTTTCCTGAAAAGACAGGCCGTGTCATTAATTAGCTATGTCACAGCATGTGCCCTAAAATTTATGGGGTTTCTTCCTTTGTTAGAAGAAATAGAAGAAGCTTCATCTCCTCAGAGTCTTTTTCCACTCCAGTAGCCTGCCTCTCTGCTAAGACTGTTAGGCCCACTTTCGAGCAAACTAATGGTTGCTGTCGAGAGGAGTGAAAACAAGACTCCTAAGCTTTCTGAGTTTAACCCCGCCATGTTTCCAGCCCACACTGAGGTGCTTTCCAGACGCTTGGTAGCAAGAGCTTGCTTTCAAGGTGATTATTCAAACGGGCTGCTAAAGAGCCTCTGCGTTTAACACAACGAGACGCCCCATGCTCTAACAGCAGCTTACTTCTGCTTCGGGAAACCTGTCCTTTGTATTTCACTGACTCTGTTTGGAGGAGAAAATCCTGTATTTGTTGGGCCAACCACATGCATGAGTCTCGGAAAAAAAAAATCTGTTGACTTTTGTTGTTGTTGTTATTGTTGTTGTTAATGGAGGGCAGTGAATGGAATGACAGCCAATGAGGTGAAGGTGCAGCCTCTAGGAACTCCAGGAGCCCCATAGCCGCAAGGCCTAAGTGCTGGCACACTGGGCTCCCAGCAGAATGGTTTTCTCTCTTTATCCCCCTGCCTGGTTCCTTGGCAAATGACAAAAGTCAGTGGAAGCAACAGGCCATCAGGTTAAAAGTCAGTTCTCCTCCGGGATCTAGATTACCTGTCTGAAGAGAAACAGTGTGTTCTTGGCTCAAAAGGCCAAGAGAGACAAAGGTTGGAGGGTGGTGTGACGTGATGTCTGGTGCATGAGGAAGGGCAGGGCAGAGCAGGTCGGGGGAGCTAAGCCTTCAATCATCCTCTGGGTGTGACTTGGAGGGGGTGGTCATGAGCACATACAGCAGAGCTTCTGTGAGGGGCCAGTAGTGCAGCCTAGGGCCCTGGATCACCAGCTGGACTCTGGCCACTTACTGGACACTAACCCTCCAGTCTTTTATTTCCTTCCTTGGAAAACAAGATTTAAATGACTCCAGGCCTAAAGGGCTTTGAGCCGCTCTTCCTTGCCTCTAAAGAGACCAAAAGCTTTTGACACTGTCCTCCAGGTTGCAGCCTGAGCCTGAAAATAAAAATCAGCAGACCATACCATTAGAGGCACCATTTTTTTAGAGCTGTATAGCCCCAGGCTCCTACCCATATCTGTTGACTCTGCTCAGTTGAAACTCTGGCAGTTAGGGTTCCTACATCCATGTTCTAAGAGCCCCTCCCCTCTGGGTAGTTCTGGGCTATTTCAAGTCTGAGACTCAATGGCTCAGATATGGGACTGACAGCCAGCCCCATCCGTTGCCAGCCTAAGTAACTTTAAACAAGTGGCATGACCTGTCTTAATCTTGTTGCCCTCACTTTAAAAACAGAGCTGCTGCTCTCCACCCAACAGAGCATGAGAGTGAGAAAATGCACATGGGGTTCTTAATGCAGAAGTGCCCTGTTGGTGAGAGTTATTTTTACTTAGTTCTTAGTGTGTGTGTGTGTGTGTGTATGTGTGTGTGTGTATGTGTGTGTATGTGTGTGTATATGTGTGTATGTGTGTGTGTGTGTGTGTGTGTGTGTGTGTATTGCTGGGAAGCCAACCTAGGACATCATGACTATTAAGCCTGCACAACACCACTAAGCTACACCTTCAGCTATTTTAAAATTAATATTTTTATTAATTAGTTTATTTGCTTTGCATCCCAGCTGTAGCCCCCTACCTCATCCTCTCTCAGTCCCTCCTTCATCTCTTCCCATAACCCTTGCCCAGTCCACTGATAGGGGAGGTCCTCCTCCCCTTTCATCTGACCCTTGCCTATCAGGTCTCATCAGGCCTGGCTGTGTGGTCTTCCTCTGTGGCCTGGTAAGGCTGCTCCCCCTCAGGGGGAGGTGATCAAAGAGCCAGCCACTGAGTTCATGTCAGAGACAGTCCCTGCTCCCATCACCAGGAAACCTATTTGGAGACAGAGCTGCCACAGGCCACATCCATTCAGGGGTCTAGGTTATCTCCATGCATGGTCCCTGGTTGGAGCATCAGTCTCAGAAAAGACCCCAGGGCCCACATTTTTTGGTTCTGTTGCTCTCCTTGTGGAGCTCCTGTCCTCTCCAGGTCTTTCAATCTCCCCCTTCTTTCATAAAATTCCTTGCACTCTGCCCAAAGTGGCTATGAATCTCAGCATCTGCTTTCATACCCTCCTGGGTAGAGTCTTTCAGAAGCCCTCTGTGGTAGGCTCCTGTCCTGTTCCGTTTTCTTCCTCTTCTGATGTCTATCCCCTTTGCCTTTCTGAGTGAGGATTGATATCTTAGATAGGGTCCTCCTTCTTGCTTAGGTTCTTTAGGTGTACAGATTTTAGTGTGTTTTATCTTATATTATATATCTAATATCCACTTATAAGTGTGTTTGGAAATCAATCTGGCACTTTCTCAGACAATTAGGAATAGCACTTCCTCAAGACCCAGCTGTACCACTCCTAGGCATATATCCAAAATATGCTCTCAAGTACACAACAAGAACATTTGCTCAGCCATGTTCATAGCAACTTTATTCATAATAGCCAGAACCTGGAAACAACCCAGATGTCCCTCAACTGAGGAATGGATACCTTCAGCTATTTTAAAATTTGCTTCTTTTTTAAGTATTGATTTCAATATTATAATTTTTGGCAATAATAGGGATTGACCACAGGGTTGTGGGCATGAGAGGCTACATCTGTCAGCTACTGAGCTACATCCATGACTTGTTTAAGGCAGAGTCTTTCTAAGTCATCCAGGCTGGCCACCAACTCACTCTGTGGTCCAGGCAGGCCTGAACCTCGGGACCCCCCTGCTTACCGGCCTGTGCTACTAGGCCCAGCTCAATGTCACGTTGCAGTGATAATAACAGCACATCAGCGGCAACTCCACTGTGTTCCTCACGGGGCTCCGTGCTGGCTCCTTTTGCTCTTGTGTAGTGTTGGTGCCTCTCCCGCTCCTGTCCCGCTCTCCCCGCCTCCATAGCCTCCATCTTACCTTTCACTTGACATTCTTTTAACTGGTGCACCACTCCTGTGTCATTCTCCTTCTCAGCTGGCCACTTGTAGATGTACAAGTTGGTGTGAGAAGACCCTGCATCCAGCACAATCCCATACTGAGGGCGAAACAAATTTAAGACACTTATCAGCATGACACCACACTTCTCCATACTTAGCTTGCAAAGGAAGTGGACAGGGACAGGAATTTTCTAACCATAAGAAGAAAGTACTCTAAGCCAAGTAGAACATTCAGTACTGGGGACTAGAGTGACCCTCATGCCAAGGATTACCAGCAGGCCATTCCTGTACATAAGGACTGCTGGTGCTGGACCTTGGAAACATCTGGGCCTTACCGAGGGCAGGCCTGAGCCATGAGGCTACTTAGAAAAAGCTCAGTTATTCTAGTGTGGAACCAGGATCAGACCCACAGGCCAAAGCAGCTGAGACACTGTAGAAGGAACGGAAAACTAATCCAGCGATGCTCAAATTTGTCCATACCCTGGGATCAGCTGGCAAGTCCTTAGACACTGGTTTAAAAGTGGTCTGGTTGCCAGCACCATCATGAGATCCTGTGGGATTCTAATATTCACACAAGCCAGGTGACCACTGAGCTAACCCACGGAGGCTGGACAGATATAACAAGTGTGTTCATCTGATGAGTTTAGTGAGTACGGAGTTATATTTTAAAGAGAGAAACACTCAGTGGGTTTGCTTTTTTTAAACTCAGAAAACGTAACTGTAAAGTTGTGTTCGGTATTTTAAGACATATAAACTTCATTAGAAAGAGCCTGCAGCTCTTTAAAAGGAGGAGGACACTGCAGGAATAAATAAAATCAGGAGAAAGGGAATGTAAGGAAGCCGCTCAGGCAGCAAAGGGCGCTGAGCCCCAACACCCAGGCAGTACGCCAGGCATGGTGGTGAGCTTGCAATCCAGACACTGCCAAGGCGTCGACGGACGTGAGGCTCACTGCTCAGCTTTCCTGTCCTGATGGGGGGGATGGTGCCTGTGGAGGAGTGACACCGAGGTTGCCTTCTGGCCTCCTCATGCATGTACACACATGCAGTACACATACATATATGTGTACTCGGCACACAGAAACTAAGAGGGAAAGGCAGCATGGAGATGGACTAGGTGGTTAGGGGAGAAAAGGGGAGGGGCAAAAGCACCACGCCTGGTTTCTCGGGTGTGCTGACCGTGTGCCTCGCAGGGGTTGTGTGAATTATCTTCTGTAACTCAGAACAATGCCAGGAAGTAGGGGCTATTTTTATCCTTTTTATATAGATCAGGAACTACCAGCAGGTTAGTTGATAAATCTAGTCTGAGTTAGGCTCAGAATCAAGACCTTGTCCGTGGACCACGGGGCAGGGCTCAGTGCCAGGCTTCGGGGATATGCTCCCTTCTAAAGACATCTGTGAGGACAACCCCAGCACAGTGCACACATGCAATGATGCATGATGCACGCAGCGCACACCCATCTGCCGCCAGCAAAATGCAAATGCAGAACATTCGGCCCTGCAGACTTCCTGATGCTCCTCTTAGTCATCTTGGCTAAGGAGCAACCACTATTCTGACTGACATCTGTCACTGAAGATGACTTCTGTCTGTTTTGAACTGTAACAAAGGGAAATCACATAGAATGCCCACTAGCCGTGATCTCTGTCACTCTCCACTACAAAATGCTTTCAAACCGTGCCCTTTGTTCATGCTTTTCCCTTGCTGTAGCATATTCCATTGTGTGCATATACTACGTTTTTATTCATTCTAATGTTGATAGACATTTGGATTATAGTTGAGACTATTAGAAATATAGCTGCCTTGAACATTCTTGTGGGTTTCACTTTATGGAATAAAAGCTTTCTTCTTTCTCTTCTTTCTCTTTCTTTCTTTCTTTCTTTCTTTCTTTCTTTCTTTCTTTCTTTCT